CCAGAAAAGTCTGAGAGACATTGTGCTAAAGGGTATATACCATCCGTATTATCTACTGAGCTCCTGATGAAAGGCCAAGACCCAGAGATGGATGATGGATGAGAGAGCAGCTTCCTCAGCCAGTCACTGCAAAATCAGTGGCAAAGCCAAGGATAGAACCTGAGTTTCTCATTCCAGGCTTCTTAGTGCCATATAAATAGAGTATCTTATTTTCTTTTTTGGAAGTTTATAGTTCCTACATTTTAAAAACAGCTCTACTGAGGGTATAGTTTATATACCATTAAATTCACCTATTTTAAGTGAACAATTCAATGATCTATTGTGAATTTACATAGTTGCGCAACCATCACCACAATCTAATTTTAGAACATTTCCATCATTCCCAAAAGGAGTTTTGTGCCTATTTGCATTTAGGCATATCTACTTCATGTAGTTTCTGTCTCTGTGGATGTATAGTTATGGGCATTTCATACAGATGGAGTCGTATAATATGTGGTCTTTTGTGTACTATGTGGATGTAATCAAGAAAATGTTATTTTACGTGGTCTTTTGTAGAAACATTTTTTCCATGTAAAGCATAATATTTTCAAGGTCCTTCTATGTTGTAGCCTGCATCAGCACTCTTGTTTCTTTTTATGACTGAATAATATTCTGCTGTATCATATACCACATTTTATTTATCTCTTCACCAGTTGCTTGGACATTTGGGTTGTTTCCTTTTTTTGGCTATTATGATTAATATGAACATTTGCATACAGGACTTTGTGTGGACATATATTTTTATTCTCTTGAGTGGATACCTAGGAATGGAATCACTGGGTCATATGATAAATCTGTGTTTAACATCTTTAAAAACTGCTGGAGGGTTTTTCAAAATGGCTGTGCCATTTTGTTTCCATCACTGATGTACAACAGTTCTAGTTTCTGCACATCCTCAACTCTTATTAATGCCTGCCTTTTTGATGATAGGGTAGTTCTTTTTTTGCTATGGATAACTTTTCCCAGCTTAATTGAGATATAATTGACATAGAACATTGCATCATTGTATAATTGACATACATTGTGTAACATTGTGTACAGCATGATCATTTGATACATCTATATGTTGCAGGTAGTTCCATTTTATAATTGCTAATTTGTGCTTTGCTCTAATTTCCTTGGACAAAAAACATCCTTTAAATACTGAGTTTGTCCATGAAAATATTTTCCAAAGTGTCTGCACTATTTTACCTTCCCACTGGAAGTCTATGAGAGTTCCAGTTGCTCCACATTCTGGCCAACATTTGGTACTGCCATTCTTTTTAATTTTAATTGTTGCGTGTATAATGGTATCTCATGGTGATTTTAATTTTAATTGCCCTAATGACTGATGATGATGATATTTTTTGATATGTTTATGAAAGCATAAAATTTTGTTTGATGAAAAAAATACTGAGTTTGTAAACATTTTAAAGGGTCTTTGTGGATTACTCAAATTGACAATTACTTGATTCCAACTGATTCTGTTTATGTAGCTCAAATATTCTTGAAAGTAAGGATTAGGTGACTTCATAGCTTACTCGATATGGTTACTTAGTTGTCTGCCTGCTAACCTGCCCCCATCCTTCACTTTCTGAGCACTATTTATGTGTGTAGCTTTGTACTCAGGCACTGCGATAGTGACCACAAGTCCTGCCCTCACTGGCCTATGGTCTTTCCACGGTTTTCAGACTTTTTAAAATACTAAAAATATGTGCAGTTTGAGACACACTTAGATGATTTCAAGAGCAGGGTAGTGGGTTACAACTCACTCCCGTGAGTCACAAACACTGTTCCAGTAAAGGATGTAATCAAGAAAACATTGATAATTTAGTGTAAGAATATTGTAATAGAAATCGCCAAAGTCTGTTACAGGAGAGCAGACAGGAGGCTCCATGTTCGATTGGGTCAGGATGAGTATACATTGGTGCCAGGAAATACTTTCAAGAGGAAGTGGAAGTTTGTGGGTGATAGAGAAGGATGGGCAGGGGCAAGCAGAGCTGTCAGCATGACTTGTCTGTGCAGAGGGAACAATTTTAGGAAAGGCATAAATAGGGCATCTTGCATCACATGCTCTATTTGTTACAGCACATAGTATAAATCTTTGCATGTTTTTCTAACTAGTTAACCAAATTCTTTTTCAATGTATTGATTTTTTAGATAAGCATTGACTTCTTGTCTTTTTCCTTCAGTTGTTTCCTGTAATGCCCCTAATCCTATTGGGTTTCATCTGTTTCCTATGTGCTGTCAAGAAAGAAAAAATAACACTACCTGTTGATTGTGACATGCTATCCATTGTAAGATATATTGTGACTTTGAGGATGTAAAAATATAAACAAAACAAAAAAGTGCATCTGAAATCAATACCATACAATAATTGTGTTGGAGATCCTTTAGTCTTTTTAATCTGAGGAAATCTTGCTAGAGTAACAGCAGTCACATACATGCCTTTTAAGGTTTAATTTTAGGTGATGCTTTAGGGAAGTATGTACCATCCAAGTCAATGCCAGTTTGATTTATCTTGAAAGTTTTTAAATAGGTCATGATTATAATGGAATTAACTTTGATTGAATAACAGAGATTAGGGAAAGTGAATTTTGCTAAGATTAGGAAAGATAGGGTTAACTGAAGACTATAAAATATGATTTAATGATTGAAGTAATGTTTGGTGACTTTATTTGGGAATTCTTAGCTTTTAAAAATAAGTGTTCAGACTCACAACTCTGCCATTCTGCGTTTCCTTCCCTCCATTACATTGAATTTATTCATGAGCTGAAAAATCTTGGTAATTCAAAAAGTGTCTCAAAATAGTGTCATGCCATTGTTCATTTTGACAGCATGTTCATAAAGAACTGTGCTTTTCAGAGCAAGTGAGCTTAAGCCAAGCCTTTATGGGTGAGTGCTGAAGGTGCTGCTCTGTGACGGTGCTGAGAGGTGAGCAGGCAAAACACTGGGCCTTGGACATGAAAAACAAACCTTGGGATATCCTAGCAGGCACAAGGGGGAGAGAAGAGAAACAAGACTGAGGAACGAGTGAAATAAGGCACTCTTCCAGTTGTTGGTGAGCTGTAGTCTCAGCACTTAACAGGAGATAATAAAAGAAAAAAGATTCTTACTAATCTGAAATTTTGATTTATAAAGCATGATTTGGGAAACTATTAGATTTTGAAATGCATAGGCTATGAAATTACATGGACAAATATTTACCATTGAAGTATACGATAAATGTATGTAAACAAGAATAAAAATACATTCCAGTTGTTCTGGTGAAACTGTTATAGCATTATAAGGGGCTTCAGTTCTGGACTTGTTTGCCTTGGATCCAGGAATTACCTAGTTTGTTCCAAAATCTATAGATTCCAGGCCATTTATTTCAGGATTCAAAAGCCCCCAATTTTATAATTTTCTCTTAATGTGTTAGTGAGCAGAAGGTACTCTTTAACTTCTTATAAAATAAAAACATACAATATCCAAGAACTGAAGGACAACGCTTATTGAGCAGACTGAATGTATTTTGTATAGATGATTGGCAGTATTTGCTCTGTCCATCCTATGGTATAGTGGACGTTTTATATCCTGTGTCTTTCATAAGAGTCAGCCAGGTTTTAGTGTACCTGCCATGCACCAGATACAGATTAGGCAGTGGGAAGTAAAAGGCGTAAAAGTGAATTGCTTGGAGGAGCTGGAGTCTAGCATGGGGAGGGAGATGTGTTAATGCTGTGATGGAGGTTTAGTGTGAAGAGTTACTGGACCACAGAGGAAGGAGTATATAGCCTCCCTCGTAAGGTGCAGAAACCAGTTCAAAACTACTATGAATTTTGGTTACATAAAATCTGACCATTGATAAAAAGATGTTTGATGTCAATTTAGGGCACTTCTAAGAAAAAAATACTTTAACAATCAACTAAAATATTAGTTGACAGCTAGGGTTTTAAGTGAGAGAAGAATTTGGAGACAAATCCAGATTTTTTTTCTGATTTTAATCAAAAATTAAAGTTGGAAATACTTTATAATACTCTCTGATTAAAGAAAATCTGATTTAAATTGTACTTTAGGAGTAATGTTTTTAAAAAATCCTTGCTAATAGAATCTCTTCAGATCTTAGATCAAAATGGTAGGATTAAAAAAAATTTTTTTAATTTATTCTGAATAATTTTTATTTTTTACTTTTCTTTCATATTTAAGGGCCATATGCATTTCTTTTACTATGATATATTTTTTAATTTCCCCAGCCAAATTTTTTTAATAAATTGGATTTTGGTCTTTTAATATCAATTTTTAGGAACCCTTTAGATATTGAGGAAATTAGCCTTCTATCTGTAATATGAGTTGCAAATACATTTTCCCCAGTTTGTCTTCTTTGCTTTGTAAGATTATTACATTTAATTACTTGAACATATCAATCCTTTTTTTTTATGGTTTCTGGTTTTTGACTCATACTTAAAAAGGGCAAAGTTATTAAAAAGAATTTACCCAATTTTATTTTAGTACTTTAATAATTTTATGATTTGTATTTAAATATTTGATCTCAGTAGCTTAAGAAGTATATATACAGTATGGATACAATTTTTTCTTTCGAGATGGGCATTTTAATTACTCAGACGTCATTCATTGTACAGTCTTTTTCCCTCCTCAATTTTGAGATTCCTTCAGCATTTACCATTTTCTGTTTCTGGACTTTAGTTGTCCCACTGATCTCTGTATATGCTTAGTGCCCTTTTGTTTTGAGGCTTTATAATGTCTAATAGTGCTAGTTTCCTTCAAATACTCTTGTCTGTTGGAATTAACATGACTTGTTTTACATTATTAAAATTTTCTACATGAACTTTAGAATCAATATATCTATTTCTAAAAACTAATCCTATAAGCATTTTGGCAAGGATGAGGGAGTGGGGAGGTGGGGGATCACTTTAAATTTCATATTAATCTCTTTATAATAATGACTCTAAGCTGTAGTTGTTATTTAATCTTCTCTCTTACAGATGATATTAACCGTGTTTTTGAGCAACAATGAACAGATTTTAACAGAAGTTCCTATAACACCAGAAACAACATGTCGAGATGTTGTAGAATTTTGCAAGGAACCTGGAGAAGGCAGTTGCCATTTAGCTGAAGTGTGGAGGGGAAATGGTATGTATTACGCTTTGTAAAGATTAGTAAGTACATAATATGTAATACCTATCAAATATTTAAAAAAACGTTGCTTCTGGTCCTTAGTTACGTGTGGTAATAAGGAAATGAGTAATCAAAATAAAAATATATTACCTGGGATAGTATTTCACAAATGCTTTTTATTTTCTAGCCTTTAAAAAAAGATTCTTTTTTTATTAAGGTATCATTGATATACAGTCTTATTAAGGTTTCACATGAGCAACACTGTGATTACTGCAGTCACCCATATTATCAAGTCCCCCCTCACACCCCATTGCAGTCACTGTATATCAGCGTAGTAAGATGCTATAGAGACACTTGTCTTCTCTGTGCTATACTGTCTTCCCTGTGACCCTCCCTACATTATGTGTGCTAATCATAATGCCCCTTAATCCCCTTCTGCCTCCCCACCCTTTTCCCTTTGATAACTGCTAATCCCTTCTTGGAGTCTGTGAGCCTGCTATTGTTTTGTTTCTTCAGTTTTGCTCCTTGTTACCCTCCACAAATGAGGGAAACCATTTGGTACTTGTCTTCCTCCTGCTGGTGGCTTATTTCACTGAGCATAATACCCTCTAGTTCATGTGGCAAATGATAGGATTTGTTTTCTTACAGCTGAATAATATTCCATTGTGTATATGTACCACATCTTCTTTATCCATTCATCTACTGATTGGACACTTAGGTTGCTTCCAATTTCTTGGCTATTGTAAATAGTGCTGCCATAAACATAGGGGTGCATAAGTCTTTTTGAATCTGGGTTCTTGTTTTCTTCGGGTAAATTCCTAGGAGTGGAATTCCTGGGTCAAATGATATTTCTAATTTTAGTTTTTTGGGGAACCTGCATATTGCTTTCCACAATGGTTGAACTAATTTACATTCCCACCAGCAGTGTAGGAGGGTTCCCCTTTCTCTACATCCTTACCAGCATTTGTTGTTCCTTATCTTTTCAATGTTGGCCATACTAACTGGTGTGAGGTGATATCTCATTGTGGTTTTAATTTGCATTTCCCTGATAATTAGCAATGTGGAGCATCTTTTCATGTTCCTGTTAGCCATCTGAATTTCTTCTTTGGAAAAATGTCTGTTCAGATCCCCTGCCCATTTTTTAATGAGGTTATTTGCTTTTTGGGTGTTGAGGCGTATGAGTTCTTCATATATTTTGGATGTTAACCCCTTGTCAGATATGTCTTTACAAATATATTCTCCCACACTGTAGAATGCCATTTTGTTCTACAGATGGTATCCTTTGCTGTACAGAAGCATTTTAGTTTGATGTAGTCCCATTTATTAATTTTTACTTTTGTTTCCCTTGCCCAAGGAGATGTGTTCAGGAAAAAGTTGCTCATGTTTATATTCAGGAGATTTTTGCCTATGTTTTCTTCTGATATTTCTATGGTTTCATGACTTACATTCAGGTTTTTGATACACTTCAAGTTTACTTTTGTGTATGGAGTTAGAGAATAATCCAGTTTCTTTCTCTTACATGTGGCTGTCCAGTTTTGCCAACACCAGTTGTTGAAGAGGCTGTTGTTTCCCCATTGTATATCCATGACTCCTTTATTGTATGTTAATTGGCTGTATATGTATAGGTTTATGTCTGGGCTCTCTATTCTGTTCCATTGATCTATGGGTCTGTTCTTGTGCTAGTAGCAAATTGTTTTGATTACTGTGGCTTTGTAGTAGAATTTGAAATTGGGGAGTGTAATTCCCCTGCTTTATTCTTCTTTCTCAGGATTGCTTTCACTATTTGGGGTCTTTGTGGTTCCATATGAATTTTAGAACTATTTGCTCTAGTTCATTGAAGAATGACATTGATATTTTGATAGGGATTGCATTGAATCTATAGATTGCTTTAGGCAGAATGGTCATTTTGACAATATTAATTCTTCCTGTCCATGAGCACGGGATTTATTCCCATTTATTGATGTCTTCTATAATTTCTCTTAAGAGTGTCTTGTAGTTTTCAGGGTCTTGGTCTTTCACCTCCTTGGTTACATTTATTCCTAGGTATTTTATTCTTTTTGATGTAATTGTAAATGGAATTGTTTTCCTGATTTCTCTTTCTGCTACTTCATCATTAGTGTATAGGAATGCAACAGATTTCTGTGTATTAATTTTGTGTCCTGCAACTTTTCTGAATTCAACTATTCTAGTAGTTTTGGGATGGATTCTTTAGGGTTTTTTTTATCCTTCATTTTTCTTTATTTTGCTATCATTAATCTACAATTACATGAAGAACATTATGATTACTAGGCTCCCCCCTTCACCAAGTCCCCCCACATACCCCTTCACAGTCACTGTCCATCAGCATAGTAAGATGCTGTAAAATCACTACTTGTCTTCTCTGTGTTGCACAGCCCTCCCCATGCTCCCCACACACTATAAATGCTAACTGTATAGTTGTCCTCTTTGGGTCCCTTCTGTTGGGATTTCTGTGTGCTTCCGTAGTCTGAGCAACTATTTCCTCCCCCAGTTTGGGGAAGTTCTCAGCAATTATTTCTTCAAAGACACTTTCTATCCCTTTTTCTTTCTCTTCTTCTGGTACCCCTATAATGCGGATATTGTTCCTTTTGGATTGGTCACATGGTTCTCTTAATATTGTTTCATTCCTGGAGATCCTTTTATCTCTCTCTGCGTCAGCTTCTATGCATTCCTGTTCTCTGATTTCTATTCCATCAATGGCCTCCTGCATCTCATCCATTCTGCTTATAAATCCTTCCAGAGATTGTTTCACTTCTGTAATCTCCCTCTGGACATCATCCCTTAGCTCTTGTATATTTCTCTGCAGCTCCATCAGCATGTTTATGATTTTGATTTTGAATTCTTTTTCAGGAAGACTGGTTAGGTCTGTCTCCTTCTCAGGGGTTGTGAATTTGGTCTGTATCAAATTCTTCTGCCTTTTCATGGTGATAGAGATAGTTTGCATAGCTGGCACTAGTGATGGCTGGGAGAACGTCCCTTCTTGTTGGTTTGTAGCGTTCCTCTCCTTGGAGAACAGTGACCTCTAGAGGCGTGTGCTGGGCAACAGAGCGCAGACGGGGCTTCTGATTCTTGCCCGGCGGCTATGGAGTTTAGCTCCGTGTTTGCTGTGGGCGTTGGCTGCCTTGGGCTGCTGCTTCAATATGGCGGAGCCACGTTGGAGGGGAAACGGCCGGGAGGCTGTTTATCTCCGTGAGGGGCCTCCGTGCTCCCTGCTGCCCAGGAAGTTAGAGTGCCCAGAGTTCCCCAGGATTCCCAGCTGCTGGGCTAAGTGTCCTGGGACGCTTCCGTCCAGCTGTGGGGTCCCTGTCCCTTTAAGGCTTTCAAAAAGCACTCGCTTTTCTTTGTCCCAGGGGCGCCAGCTGCAGGGACCCGCTCACAGGTCTTACTGTCCTGTTTCCCTAGTATCCAGGACCCCACGCATGCACTGTGTCTGCGCTCTGGTGCATATGGCTAGGGCTGGGTGTTCAGCAGTCCTGGGCTCTCTCTCCCTCCCCACTCCGACTCCTCTCCTCCCGCTGGGAGCTGGGGTGAGGGGCCCTCGGGTCCTGCTGGGCCATGGCTTGTATCTTACCCCCTTCGTGAGGCGCTGGGTTCTCATAGGTGTGGATGTAGTCTGGCTGTTGTCCTGTGTCTTCTGGTCTCTCTTTTAGGAAAAGTTGTATTTGTTGTATTTTCAAAAATATATGTGGTTTTGGGAGGAGATTTCCGCTGCTCTACTCGCCCTGCCATCTTGGCTCCACCCCTTCTTTAGCGATTTTTATGTACAATATCATGTCATCTGCAAACAGTGACAGTTTAACTTCTTTCTTTCCAATCTGGATGCCTTTTATTTCTTTGTGTTGTCTGATTGCCGTGTCCAGGACCTCCAGAAGTATGTTGAATAAAAGTGGGGAGAGAAGACATCCTTCTCATTTTCCCAATCTTAGAGGAAAAGCTTTCATCTTTTTGCTGTTATATGATGTTGGCTGTTGATTTGTCATATATGGCCTTTATTATGTGTGGTACTTGCCCTCTATACCCATTTTGTTGAGACTTTTTATGATGAATGAATGTTGAATTTTGTCAAATGCTTTTTCAACATCTATTGTGATGATCATGTGATTTTTGTCCTTTTTTGTTGATGTGGTGGATGATGTTGATAGATATTCGAATGTTGTACCATCCTTGCATCCCTGGAATAAATCCCACTTGGTCATGATGGATGATCTTTTTGATGTATTTTTGAATTCAGTTTGCTAATATTTTGTTGAGTATTTTTGAATCTATGTTCATCAGGGATATTGGTCTGTGATTTTCTTTTTTTTTGGTGTCTGCCTGGTTTTGGTATTAAAGTGGTGCTAGCCTCATAGAATGAATTTGGAAGTATTCCCTCCTCTTCTCCTTTTTGGAAAACTTTAAGGAGGTTGGGTATTAGGTCTTCACTAAATGTTTGATAAAATTCAGCAGTGAAGCCATCTGGTTCAGGGTTTTGTTCTTAGGCAGTTTTTTAAATACCAATTCAATTTCCCTGCTGGTAATTGGTCTGTTCAGATTCTGTGTTTCTTTATGGGTCAGGCTTGGAAGATTGTATTTTTCTAGAAAGTTGTCCATTTCTTATAGATTATCCAATTTGTTAACATATAATTTTTCATAGTATTCTCTCATAATTCTTTGTATTTCTGTGGTGTCCGTAATGATTTTTCCTTTCTCATTTCTGATTCTGTTTATGTGTGTAGACTCTCTTTTTACTTGATAGAAGTCTGGCTAGCAGTTTATCTACTTTGTTTATTTTCTTGAAGTACCAGTTTCAGCTTTTATTGATTCTTTCTACTGTTTTATTCTTCTCAATTTTATTTATTTCTGCTCTGATCTTTACTATGTCCCTCCTTCTCCTGACTTTGGGCCTCATTTGTTCTTCTTTTTCTAGTTTCACTAATTGTGAATTTAAATTGTTCATTTAGGATTGTTCTTTCTTGACATAAGTCTGTATTGCAATATACTTTTCTCTTAGAATGGTC